AGCTCTGATTCATGGAGACCAGGATCAACGTGCAGTTTCAATGAGTAAAAAAAATTAAATGTGCCAAGGAAAACATTGAGCATGAGGCAGAGATTATACAGAAGTAATCATCTAGCTATAAAGGGTAAAAATTGTTCTTACTGTATTATTTGGAAAAAGCTCAGTGCTGAATTTACACTGAGATTGAAAGAAAGTTGTTGGTTTAGATCATGTTCTTGAGATTAAATATCTAAAAATCATTGCAAAATGAAACCTGAGCCTGAGAGAAAGCAAACAGCAGAGAAACAGCAGTGGACTCCTGACCACAGAGCTTCAGTCTCCATCAGAAGGAAGCGCAGCAGTAACTGCTACCCTGACAGACAGAGCAATGTTAGTCACACATCTGCTGTGTCAATGTGTTTGCCACAAATGGGAAAATAAATTCACTACATTGCTACAACGCTGGCAAATGGTGCTGACAACAACACACAGAAACCCTGTCCCGTTCCATTTCTTGAGATAATGGAAATGCCATTCACACAGCCATCCTTCGCCTGCACATGCCCTTTCTTCAGGAAAGGCGTTGTGTCTGGCTTTTCTCTTCTTTACTGCTCTCTCCTTTTTGTTCTTGGACATTCTGTGCAATCCAATGCCTTTGCAATGGTTGTGTTCATTGTATTCAGTGTGTGTCTTTCCTCCCCGCTCTTTAAATCCCTCCCGAAGTGCTGCACACTCCACCAAGATGCTCAGTCCTTTCTGAAGCTCGGGTCATTTCATGTGTGGCACAGCTGTGCGGCACCGCAGGCCATTATGGCTGTGCATGGTGAGGTGAGGGGAAAGGAGGGAGGTGAGGTGAGTTGAGGGATGCCTGGCAGCCCAGTGCAGCCAAACCCTGACCCAGGGAGGGCTGTGGTGAGGCAGGGTGAGGAATGGTCCCAAGCCCCTGCTCTGCTCAGGCCAAGAGCTGAAGCTCCCAACGAGTCACCACTGCTGAACCTGGGTGCTGCATATCCCCAAAGACCACATCTATGCAGAAAGGACCAGCCAAACAAGTGGCAGAAAGATACTCCCAGCATTTTAAGACCTTTTTCTTTAAACAAAAAAAAAAAAAAAAAAGAAAGTAGTTATAGCAAACCAAACAGATTTCTTCCTGCATTTTTAATGCCTTGCTCCTGTGCATGAGCTGCCTTGCAATAAACATCACAGCAAAGTTAACTTCCTTCAGTTGTGCTGTGATGTACAATAATGATGACATTACCTGATAAAGCTCTTTTTTCAGTGGGAAGAAAGGATTTTCTCCAACAGGGTATTTATTATCCCTGTATAGGACATATAGCTCACTACAGCACCAAGCTGCAGTCCTGAAGCAAATCCCAAAGCCTGAATCCTGCATTCATGCTCAGAACAGCTTCTCACAGCTGCAGCTACAGAAAAAAAATGGTGTTCTCTGAGGCACAGAAATACAGGCTGAGTAAGAGGAGTCCATTTCATTCATTATCAATTCATTACCTGCTAAATCCTGCAGGGATGGAGGAGAAGACAGCGATACACTGCGTGATTCTTAGCGGAACGCAACACGTGGGCATGTTTGGTGGAGGCAGAGCACAAACCTCATCTCACCCAGAGACAGACTGCCGTGTGTCATAGTGCTAATGGACAGATTATCTCAGCAGCAAATAAATTTTGTTGCTAAGATTGGAGCATTCAGGCAATTTGGGACGTGATTTGCTAGCATAAAAATACACTTTAAGAAAATAAACCGCTGTTACGAGCAATTTCACTTACTCAGAGGCACTGAAAGTGGGTTGGAGGAGGAAAATGGGACTGAAGTACTGAAACCTAAGCTCCCCATGACCAAAAAAGGCTGTGACAGCCCTGTGTGCCAGCATGGGCTCCCTTCGATGGGCTCCTCCTGCCCTCTGTGGTTCCCTCCTGAGCCCTGCATCAGCCCCAGCCCCGCAGCAGCGCCGTGCTCCATCTCCTCTGGGCTTACCCTAAGCCACAGAACCAGTGGGGACGTGGTGCCCCAGCACAGGGTGAAGCACAGCACAGCCCTTGCATACTGGCAGTGCAGGGATGAGCTCTGGGTCCCCTCGGGGAGGATGTGCTGAGCAGCAGCCACCTGCTTTGCGTGGAAACATGGGACGCTCTGATAACCAGTGGCTAAGGAAGCATTTTTGGAGCTGACTGGCCGCAATCAATATCTCTCACCACAGCTTCACGGCAGGGAAAAATGAAATTCATCTCTTTTGTCACTCAGTAATGAAACTCAATTTCTACAGGACTTTGGCAGAGAGGGGCTATCCATTAAAGAGAAACCTGTGAGTACGAAAATGTCAGGAGAGCCTCCTGCAGGCTGCAGCTAACCAGCACGCACAAGTTCAATGCCAAAGCACCTTTCAGGATCCTAAACATCCATCTGTGCAGAGGCATCACTGACCAGCCCAAGCATTAAGGTGCTGTAAATGGAAGGAATAGGATCAGCATCCAGTAAAGCTTCAGCAGAGAAAATATTCTTGCACAAAATTAACCCAGCCATGGCTACTCAAGATTGCCACTTTTTAAACGAAGGGATTTAAAGATTACGAGAGGATTTGTATCCATCTGTCACTTTTGGCCTGCTTTCATTTACAAATCTTTCTCAGTCAAACTTCACTAAGAATCCTGTCAGCAGCTGCCTATTTTTAGATGAACTCACTTCATTTGGTAGTTTCAAATCTAATGATTTCCTAACAGGGAAGGTTTACAAAAAGGGGCATTAGAACATTGAGTCCATCGAAGCTCCACTTGATTAATATTTGCATGCTCTGCTACAAAGGCCAAATCAACATGCACAGTCGTACTGTTTTAATCCAGCAGATGGATGTAGCAGAATTCTACACACACACACACACACAAAGCATTTGCAGCCTACCAAATGATGGAGTTAAGATACCTAACCAGAAAAATTAGCTTAGATCCATTTTGACAAGTGCTTTTCTCTGTAGCACACCTATAAGTACAGCATTCAAGTACAATATCCACCAATTTTCCTTGAAAGAACTCAGTGATGGAAGAAAAGAAGGGGAAAAATGCTCTCCTGAGAAGAGAGGACTTCAGAACCAGTTTGGAAATGGCTGAAGCAAAACCCAACCAGGGATCTGGGTGCCAAGGCAAGCATCCTGGCCAGCAACACTGCCTGGAGCCCAGGATGGGTTTTGTTGATGGCTCACACCAGCTTCTGTCAGACAGAACTGTGTTTGTCCCACACAACAACCACAGGTATTTCACTATTTTGATTTTAAAGACTGCTTTCCACTTTTTGTATTTACTGCCAGCAGCTTCATCTTCTCATTAAACTGACTTGGATATGGCAAAACATTACTAAAATACATCACCAGCACAACTGGTCTGAGACTGAACAGTCTGAATACTGCAGAGCTTGGAATCACAAACATCTGCTGCAGTGGCTCGAGCAGCAGATTCTCTGTGCTCAGATCACAGCCAGATCTTCCTTCAGGAGCAGGTAGCACCAGTTACATGTTTTTAGTGAACAATTGACATGATCAGGCTTACCAGCCACCACCACCTTGGTGCTTTAACCTCTAGAGGTATCTCTAGCTGATTAGCAGCCTCAAGTTCTGGCTTTTAATTTACAGCAAGTTGCATCCTCTCTCAGTTTTGATTGCTGAGACTTTACTACAACACTTATTTACACAGCTTTGCATTTCTGCATGATTGCTTTATTGTATGACATCAATCTCCAAGTGTGTGCTTGGAGCAGTTTAGTCTTTATTTTCTCTGTGCAAACGTGCAGTTTTCAATACATGAAAATGCTATCTTTTTCTCCTGACAGAGGTTGGTAATTTTCTCCACTGTTTTTTTCCTTCCTAACAAACTTCAATCAATCAAAATGACTGGAGAGATGAAGTGACCGAATCAACGTGACAGCAAGGGATCTACACTGTTCATTGGACTGGTAAATCCTCGTTAAAATATAAGCAGAAGCATCAGAAGGCGACAACTTTAAAAAGCTTATTTTTTAAGCATCATTAAAAACTGGAGATACATGATGAAAAATAAACCCTAAGCCCCTGTTTAACAGTGCAGTCCTTCAAGAACTCCTATGACGCACAGCTCCTTAAGCACATGACATGTGCAGTCTGCAAAGGCACTGCAAGTTGCTCAGAGCTTCTAAGATCAAAGCAGTTTAAGAGAATGAGGTGCATTTACTGGCTGAGTGTGAAAGGAGCTGATGAATTAACAGAGCATTGTAATTGCTTCCAGTCACTAAAGCTCACAGCCCTTCGAGTACCCAGAACAGGCACTGCACATGGCATTTTAAGTTGCTGGAGCGTTTGAGATCAGAGACATTGATAGTGAGCAGGAGTCTGAGCAGGAGGCTGAGTATCCAAGTGCTCCGAGTATTTCTCAGCACTGCATTGAAAGCACAAAGTGACACAACGAAACAGTACAAGCTTGTCAATGCTTGCTTTTCCAGAGCTGGGCTAAGGCTGATGATGTGTATAGCAGATATGGGAGGCTATTTTGGAAGATCAGCAAACACCATCCAAAGGATCTGTTCCTTTTCCTCTGTAATCATAAAGGAGACCTGGCATCAGGACAACTGATCCCAAAGCTGAAGGATCCAAAAGCTAGGACACTTCTAACTACTTTCAAACTAAACGCTAGTAAAAAGTATTAGCTATAATTACAAACCCTCAGGAATCCAGACCATCACGACACAACAGGGCTCATCAGAGCCATGTAACTGTGCTAATAAAATGCCTCTGACATTTTACCAGTTATCTGTTTTTGTCTATCCACATCCATCACGACACATTTAAAATCAGACTCAGTGACCACCCAGACCACGTGGTCCAAGCGAGCTCAGAAACAAGTCAGATGTGAAGAAGGACCCAGCAATGTGCACGGCATCCATTTGACAAAAACATTTTAACAGGCTTCACGATCCCTCCAAAGACTGGAGGTGAGCAACTTGCTTTCAGTAGCACGTGACTTAGAAAGAAGTAAAGACATACCTGCTTCATCATAGGATACAGTCAATTTTTCCAGCATTTCTCGATCAATTGATAAAATCTGCTGTTCCAGGATGGTCTGATAGGACATCACACTGTTCTCCTTGTCCCTCTCATAGTCCTGAAGATGTTGTTTCAGGACTTCGGGCAGGCGGGACTTCACATACTCTGCTGCTGACTGTAGAAAAGAAACAAAGGTTTAATTAGCACTTCTTCTTTTGAAAAGCTTCATGGATGTTCATAGCATCATTAGTAGTATTGCTTTCAGTTAAAGCACTATCAAATTTAACAATCCATGCAAAGAATACTCTTAATACTACTAACTCCATAGTGCTAAGATTGACAGATCATTTCTCTGCCAAAATTACCACGTGCCCAGAACTCCCATGGATGCAGGGATACAGCAGAACAAAATCCTCTGAGCGAAAGCGCAGTTCTACCGTCCAGCAGGATGCACAAGTCATGGCTTCTCCTTACAATGTGCTGTTCTGACTGTCCATAAACAGCAAACTGAGAGACACAGAGTAGCTCAAGAGGTATAATCTTGGTCTCCTACATTCCCTGGGGTTGCCGTGGAGCACTGAGGCATGCATGGGATTTAGGCTTCGATGCTCAGCCTTCCCAGCCCTCACCACGTGCTCTGTCATTCAGTGCAGCTCTGCTAGCTCGTTACATCTCAGCTGATGAGCTCTGGCTACCTTTCTGTTCAATACAGGATAATCATGTAATGTTTCCCACTCAAAGTAACGTTTAAGGACAGCAGTGAAAATGCATTATACAAATAAAATAATTTTCCTTCAGCAGGAAGGTTACGGCAGTCCAGAAGCAGTTAACCATGCCTGAATAGGAACATAACATAATACCTATGTTTCTTCATCATAAACAAAGTTTGAAAATAATTTTTGAAGTATCAAGTGAGTGAATGGAATCCCTTCACCTGCTATTGTTACATAACCAGGCTTGGACAGGAAGATTGCAGATGTATTACACATCCACAGCAAATTCTTGATTGGTCACACAGACAAAAAATCGAGACCATAAGAAAACAGAAATTAACACAAGGTGGCATGGTTGTATCAGTGTTACAGAGCAACGTGCAGAAAACAGGGCAGTAAATGAGAAGAGCAGCTGCCTCTGGACAGGTGCCCACCTGCCAGCATTGCTGCTCTGTGCAGCATGAGGCACCAGCAGCTCTCTGAGAAAACCACAAACACGACATTGCTTCAGGCCTGGCACTGACCACAGCTCAGCCCTGCTCAGCAGCATGCTCTCCTGGGTCTATATTTAGTTTGCCAAAGTCAATTGCTGATCAAGTCACAACCTTAAAATATCACAGAAGTTGCGTTCAGTTCATCTGCAGGCTAAACCACGTGAGGCGAATGAAATTATTCTACAAAAACCAAACAAACTGTCCACATGAGTACAACATATTTAATGTTACAGTTTAATAGCTGTTTCCTTCCAAGGGAAGGCCAAAAGACACACTGTACTCTAATTATTTAGTCCACATTCAGGCACTTATATTTAACGTTTGCTTTGAGAAGAGGCTTCACCCCACAGGGGGCATTTTTGTGCTCTCCCACCGCAGCAATTCTGAAGAGCAGGAAGCAGAAGTTTATACACATCCATTTTCCTGCGCCATCTGAGCAAGCACACCAGTGGCTGCAAACGCTATCACTTCTGACCCAGAGACCTCACAAAGCCCAGAGACAGATGGACGGGAGCAGATGGGAACACAACCAGGACCGAAGGCACCGGCTGTGAGGAGGCGGCCCCAGCGAGGCACCCGCAGCACAGGGCCGCCTTCATCACCGACATCCAAACACCCCAAATCCACGGAGAAACGCTGCCCAAGCGCCTTCTCCTGAGATGCTCACGTGCCTACAGCTCCTCCTGCCATGCTTCAGGGGATGCCGTTGCACTGAGCGTTGGAAGTCATTCCCAGCAGCACTCCTGACCCAGAAGAGATACATGTGCACAATGGCCAGACATTTCCAAACATATGTGCAGCAATTATTTTCCTGCTGAAGTGTTACTCTGCCAAGCAGGATGCAACCAGCCTGGAGCCCAGGGCTGCAGGTAGCTGGCCCAGCCTCCAGCCTGGAAGGACAGCAAGCACATGGGGCTGAGACCGATCTGAATATGGATCTGAAAAGAATTCTCAATAGATTTTGAGATGTCTGCCTTCCATGCCACAGCTAGATACTGAGCTGTAAAGTAATGACAAAATGGATATGAACTCCTTGGCATTTATACCAATTGCCTTTAAGGCATTTCGTTCTACAAAATCTATTATCTTCTATATCTATTATCTTATGCACCTACCTACAGTGAAATAACTCAAGAATCATAGAGGCACAGCATCAATAATGTTGTAGAAGACTTGCAGAGCTTATTCACAAAAAGTCAGTTTCTTCTCCACGACGCCACATGTAAATCACATCAGGAAATGCTGAAATCCCTCACTGTGTCTCATTCTGGACCTCCAAAGCACCCATCGCCCTTTAGTAACTCCCAATGTTGCCAACGTTTGTAATCAATGAGAAATACTTATTCCAAGTATTTTCTTTCTTTTTTCTTTAGTTATGCCAAGTGCCACCCTTTGCTCTGCTTTCTGAAGCATCTCCTTCTGAGAGCTCCCTTATACATGGGGAAGTAAAGGTCTACATAGGTTAATTAACAACTTCTTTGTGAAGCCACTTCAGGAGTCAAATGGCAGCTGGAGCAAGAAGTCTCCTTACACAGCTACATCTCACACAAAAGGAGCTGAATGTTTGGTGTGTGAGAAAGAGCCATCTCTGTAAGAGAAAGTCTCAGCCTCGGCCCCTGTTTTACTTGCATTCTGCAGGGTGCTGCAGCTCAACACTTCTCAAGTCTGGAATTACCAGTCTGCTCAACCTGTAAAATCCATGACAAACAAAAAACAAACTCATGATCCGTGCATTCCTGCCACCTGAAATATATCCTCAGTGGATGAGCAGCTGCCCTGTGTGTCCCACGAAGCTGTGTTGGTGGCCAAACAACTACTGGGGACATGCAGCCAGAGGGTCTGCATCCACTGGCACCCCGTGGGCACAGAGGAGGAGACCAGAGTTCTCCAGCATCAAATGTGATGATGGAGAGACCAAGTGCTAAGCAGGTCCACGGCCCTATGGCAAGGAGTGCTACAGACAACAGGGTGGGAAGATGAGCACAAGTGCACATACAGCAGGTGGAGAAGCCAAGGAGATGGAACAGCTGTCAGCCACAACACAGATCTCCAGTGCAAAGAATGGAAGATGAGGGCTTCCTTGCCTGAGACCTGAGCTCCTCGTTGGCTGCAGTGATTTACAGGGACTGGAGGGAAACTAAAGATGTGTGACCTTAATACTCTTGGGACAATTTGTCCTGTTTGCCTTGCTGCTGCAAGCATCCAGAGATCACAGGAAAATACAGATCCATTTTAGGGAGCGTACTGCTGGCATAGCACCTACATTGAAGGATCACAAACAAGATCAAGATTCTTCTGTCACATCTTTCTGCCTCTTCTTGTCACTGCTGAGGGTCACAGGGTCACTGCTACATGCTTCAGAGACAACACGTCAGGAGCTGCTGGGCAAGGGCAGAGCTGCCATTATGGAAAAGGGGCACCTTGCTCACCTCCTGGTTCAGCTGAGGGAAGGATTCTGAGAAGGAAGCACACGCACGGTCAGAATGCAATAATGAGGATGGAAACAAGTGGAGACTGGAGTAAAAAATGACTTAAAGCTAGCCAAGGTGGCAAGAAAAGTTTCTGCAAGTCCATTTGTAATAAGAAAAAGACAGGCAAATGTTGGTGTACAGCTCAACAGAGTAGAAAAGCTTTTGACAGATGATGCCATAAAAGCTGAAGTGTTTGCAGTCTCATTTTGGCTACAGTATGACTGCCTTTACTTTTGTGCATTCAAGTGGCAATTTATATCAGAGGAAGGTAACCAAAATCCTAAGACAAAATATGGAAAGATTATGTTAGAAGTGTTTGTAAAGATCAGGGTTTTCCAGCCGGCTGGGCCAGATGAAATTAGCTCAGCTGTAGGTGACTGACTGAAACAATTTCTTTAACAACTTCTGCCTTTGAAAATTCACAGAGGGCACTATTTGGAAAGAGCAAATGCAGGGGCTACTTTTAAAATAGGATAAAGGAAGAGAAGTGGGATAACAGAGTAGGCAGTTTAACTTCGGTGCCTAAAAGCGGAATAAAAGATCAAACGATCTCTATTAGGAGAAAGCAGCAAGAACCGTAAGACACAGCCAGCAAAGTGCTTCTCCCAGGGCACGCAGGGATGCAGTAACTCGGTTCCCATCGGTGCAGACTGGGGAGCAGCTCAAGGACTCCACAGAAGTACTGCTGGAAATATGCGATGATCCCACTTGAGATTTCACATTCCGTATTTTAGACTGGAATTCCTTAGCAAGGATACTTTGCTACACATGTTTCTGAGCTAATATCTTAAAACAAAATAAACTGATAAACAAAACCTAAAAACCCACCATGCCACAACTCATTACACAAAGAACAGTGCCCTTAACTTGCCAGATATCTTACAGTAAGACGAGGTTGTGGACAAGAAATGAATTCCAGTCCATTAGTGATTTTTTGGTAGCAGTTTCCTGTTTATTTCTAAAAAGTACACTACAAAAATACATTTGGAATAAATGTTTATATATATAAACTCGAATTGCTGGGATAAAGAAACAATGCCTCAAGTCAATTTACGTGCACACCCTGCCCTCCGACACACAGCAGCCAGGGCCAACAGGGCAGTTCCACCAGCACACCCCTCATGCTGTGCTCCAGCACATTTATTCCCACTTCACTGCAGTTAGGGTGCACAGCCCTAAACCTTTAGGAGGTGTTTCTTGACGCCTCGGTGCTCCGTTGGGTGCTGCCTGCACACAGGAATGGTTACGCAGCACTCTTTGGATCCCTGCCTTGACAAGAGCTTCGCTCAGGCCGATGCTGCTCCTTCCTCAGCAGGAGCCACAAATAACTGCCCTGAAGTCAGTAGAATTTTGCTATGCCAAACCCCCTGGACAAAGGACGTGAGTCTATTAATAGTTATTCAGAAGGAAACCATGACTGCAAAACATAATCTACTCTCAAGAGGATAAAGCAAGGTCTACAAATGGCACTGGGATGAACATTTTGCCCTCTACAGC